CTGTTTCAGGGGCTCCTTAGAGTGTGCCCACAGTTGACTGCGCCCACGGGATTTCTGCAGAACAGCTTTGCTGATGGATTCCTTCTCAGGAGTCCTGAATGAAGACAAGTGCAGGCAATACAACATTACTGGATCAGTATTGCTGGGAACATAGCAGGTCATTATCACCAAGTCATATCTCTAGACATGTTCTTTCCCAAGACATTGATCTCATATCTCCTTTGATTCTGTAGGTGAGCAAGAGCAAGAAAATGTAGTTTCCTGTATATCCAGAAGGGAGAAGGTTTGCAAAAAGAAGAAAGGTTTTAGAAAACTAATTTTCTCCTTCTCTCTGAGGTCTGAAATGTTGTGTACCCTTGCTGAAGAAGGGGTGAGAACTAAGAATAGGGCCTGCTGGGAAGAAGTGACGCCAGCTGGGGATATAATAGATCAGACTTAAGATATTATAGACCATGTGCCAGAATCTCTGCACATCCAAAGTCACAATTACAGGGAACAAAGAGAAGAAACCCACTCAAAGATGGGAGATGCCATTTCATCCTAGGCTTTAAGGATCACTGATCAATAAGAACTTTCCTAGGGTGTACACTACACAGAGAGCTTCACCTGAAGTGTTCATAGGAGAACTCCTCCAGGGTGTAAGGCTTCACTTTGACATCCTCTTCATCAGGTTCCTCCATGAAGGAGTTCTGTGAAGCTGTCCTCCTCTGGTCTGGAGACATCATCAGCAAACTCTGTAATGACACAGCCACATAGAGATGTCACATGGGGACAGGTCCCTGCACAGGTTGTCGGGTGTTACTTAGCATATGTGCACAGGTAGTGCTCTGTGCTGCCCAAGACCTTCTGTCCCCAAAGCAGCATCTCCAGAGACTCAAGAAAGACCTGGGAACAGTTGACTTAAGAGCAATTTCCACAGACTCAGCAGTAGTACACATCAAAATGTATGTGACTTTCCGAAGCATAACACATTTTACGATGCACCTGTTTATCACCAGTGTATTTTCTCCCCAGTTTTTCTGCTTTTTACCTGTTAGCACAGTATCCAACATACTGAATTGCCAAAACTGAAGACAAAATTGTTAGCAGAGGGATCAGTGGCAAACCTTGACTCCCTCAAAGATCATATTCTTTTAAAGTAGCTTGCTGCACTCAGAGCTTCCCCTGAGGCATAATGTGATCACCACTCAACCCAGTGTGAATGCAGGGAAATTCAACTGCACACCCATATCCACTAATTGCTACCAGTTCCAGGCACTGAAATCTCCCATGGTGAACAAACCGGGTGTTTTTTTAAAAATTGTTGCTTTTGTGCAATTGCAACCTTGTCCTTAGAGTCTGGGCTAGGTTTAGGTTTAGCACAGAATGAAGTGCTTTGTTTCAATGGGAGGTATAGAACTTGTCTGACTTTGGAGGAACAATTATCTTCCAGCTATAAATTTAATCATATTTAACATTGTTATTATCATTTATCTTCCAGTCTCTTCACAGAGAATGCTTAGCTTTTCTTACCAGCACTTGACTAGAGGGTTTTGTGAGAGAAGGAATGATGTAGATGTCTTCCAAAAATACATTCCCTGTTTTGCCTGTCCTTTCATTCTGGGCATGGATCCAGCCAGAGTCTTCATCCAGCCTTTTGTCTTCAGTGAAGATTAGCAAGTCTCCCTTCTTGAAGGACAGGATGCCAGGGTCTTCTGGAAGACAGAATAAGGGAGTACTGTTCCAGCTTGACAGTCCAAGAAAATGCAAAGGGATTGCAACAGGAAAGACAAGGGAACTGTATCTTGAAGGCCTAAATTCAGTTAGCAATAGAAAGTGATTTCTATAAATAGGGCTAATTATACAGTAAAACTTCAGAGATATCACTTTAGTTTCCTCTGACGGCCTGATTTTGATCCACTCAGGGCAATGGTAAAACTCCATTTGATTCACTTGGATGCTGACTTTGTGTCTAGACTGGCAGCAAAGCATGAAGAGAAACTCAGTAGTTTAAGTAGCTGAAGTTAACATTTACATCTTAAACCTCTCATGTCTGTTTGAGCCAACTGTATTCCACAGAAAATTCCAGTTTACTGCCTCTGTGAAACTCTTCTGTAAAATATTTCCAGGAAGCCCAGATCCAACTTCCTGCTATAACCAAGCTGAGTTTTTGGACACTGTACTATCTAAATAAAATATGCAAAGAGGTAGAAGGAGGAAGAAAAGGTGATTTGTATGCAAAAGTACTGAATCCCATTTCCTTGTGCTCTGCATTTCTGTGCTGAGGCATCCCTCCTGGAGCAAAGGGACTCTTGCTGAAGTTCTTCCTGTCCTCTGTGAGCACCTTCAACAATTCAGATTTCTTCCCCACCCTGTAGAAAAGTTGTAAGACTTACCCTGGGATTTTTTCTCTTGCATTGCCACAGCAAATGGTGATCTTTTCTTCAGTCCTTCCAGGAATGTCACCACCAGTTCAGCAATGGCAACGCTGTTTACAGATGTCAGGACAAACTCCTCAGCACGAAGTGTGATGAGTGTGCAACTCTGTCCAAATGACTTCACTGCCCTATGTATTAATGAACAGTTTGTTACCAGAGCATATGAAAAGCTTAGAGACCCATCTGCAAACACAGCCAAGGCACCTACACCTCCTTGCAGATAACTTCCTTACAGCAAGTATTGGGAGCTCTTAATTTGCCCTCCCATGAACTGGTAGGTGTGAAGGTCGGAAGTGGTTCAGCTTTACTCTGGACTCCACCATATTTTGTACAAAAGTGCTTCATTATAGACAAACGAACATCCTTCTTTTAGAGTAACCAGGCAGCTAAGTGAATCTCTGACAGTCCTCACAGGGTTTTTTTTCATGTATGTAAGACCCTTTTCTCTGAGTGACACAGGGATGTGTGCCCTGAGCTAGCCAGTGGTTATCCTCTTTCCCTCGTTATCCCATTCAGGTCCATGACACCTGAGAAGTAAATGAACTCCCAGCATGCACAGCAGACAGTGGATTAACAATGTCAGTTCTGTTCTTGTCTTTATGCTTATCTGTGCTTCCTTACACCTTTTTGACCTTCCATCAGCTGGAAGGATCTAACCATTTCAGTATTTCCTTTATAGGCTTCTCAGAAGCTTTCCCTTTCTGTTTCCCAGACCTAGGCTAAGCCACCTTTCCAGGCACAGATCAAATCACCTAAGGAGATGGCAGAGAAAGTACATGCTTTCTGAGTATGGAAAAGATGCCTTCTGCAGATATTGTCTTTCTGGGGCCTTCACCTGTTGGTGTGGATGCCAGTTATCTCTGGGAAGGTCAGCTCAAGGAGCCGCTTTTCTGACTCATCCAAGAAGCAGATACCTTTCCAATTTATAGCAACAATGAAGTGGTTCTTAGGCAAGCTGGGCCCTGAAAATACAGAAAAAGATCCTTATCAATGCTATACAAATCTTCTTCTATTCTTACAGCTGTCCTCTACTTCCCAGGCTCCAGGTATTACCTGAAAACTTAGTGACTTCAAAGAATCGGGAAAAAAGCAAAGGCCAGTGAAAGCGAGCAAAATCTACAAGTTGCTCCTTCACAGTCTGAGAGGAGAGATGGTCCTGTGTGTATGGGGCCTGCAGGATAAAAACACACTCGAGGTTTTCTCAGTAAAATGTGGTTTGCATGATCTGCAGACAATAAAGAGCAAGCCTGATCCCCGAGATTCCCAACAACCCTCTGCTGTCACAGGTGCCAAGGCTACCTGGCGTAAGTAAATCAGGAACAGTCTCCAGAGGCCCAAGCCACATGCAGCTAAGATTGCCCACAGGCATGCAGATTCCAAATTTCCCCCCAGTCCACACTGACTTACCTGTTTAGAGTCTAACACACTTTGGGTGCCATGGAAATAATTCAGGTAATCCATTTCTAGATCAAAACCAATATTCCATCCCACATTCATCCTGACTTGGTTGCCTTAAAAGCTAAGCTATTCAGAGATTTAAATGTACTTTTTCATTCTGCCCCCCTGCTGAGTCTTAAATGGAAGAGTGAGTGGAAAGGTTCTCTGCTGCCCCAGCCCTGACAAACTATTTGGGATATACGAACTGAGCTGGGTTTTATTCTTCCCCCCACAGACTATTCATAAATGGAAATGGTAAAAGAAGCAGAAGCTGGTGCTCACCCAGCACTGCCAGACAAACCTCTTACCTTAGCATGTGCATAGGTTATAAGGCTCACCCACTTTTCCAGGGGCTTGGACTTCAGCTGTTTCACTGGGATACAGTCATGGAGCACCTTCTGCACAAGTTCATTGTGGATGGAATCTCCAAATTGGATATAACAATATTTTGCACCTATTTCCACCAAATCCTCCTCCTGAAACAATTAATCCATTAAAAGAGGCCTAGAAAGATGTCAAAAAGGCCAGATAGCCTCATTCAACCTTGAAACCAGTTTAGGCATGGGGTTTTCTCCATTTTTGTCTAGAAAACTCTTAAGAGTCATCCAGTATAAGGAGGGATGAACTTCACACAATCGTAGCATCAGAGAAATTATTAGCAAAGATATTTTAAAATAAGACCCAGTTTGCCCCTTTGGACATGCCTCCTGCTGCCACATAAACTGAAAGTTGCAGGGAAGGGAAAAATACTGATTAGAGCTGCCAGTGTGACATCTGACCCAATCACCTGGACAGGAATTGTTCGCTAAGAAGGGAAGGACTGTCCGTATCCACTGCAAACTTAGTTCATCTTCATGCTTTTTTTAACGTGGGAAGTGTTAATATAGTTCTGACTCTTTCGGGGACGAATAGGGAGACCCACCTTCTCACAGCGGTACTCCCCAAACCGGACGCCGCGAATGACTTGGTGGTAAATGAGATCCGTGCTGACAGGATCCTCCTGGGAGTTGTGCCAGGGGGTGAAGATCTCCTTGCGGAAGTAGAGGCGCCAGGGCGCGTGGCGCTCGTGGGTGCCCCGCTCCCTCACCAGCTGCTCACACTGGGAGATGGCATCCAGGACGTGATCCCGGCCCCCGCCCAGCGACCACACCTGCCACAAAGGGACACTGCATTACTGGCTTGCCTGCCCTGGGGCTGAGGGAAGGACAACAGGCACCAAGCTCCTGGTCTCCCGACAGCGGGAAAACCTCTGAAAAGATAAGCAGGTGGGTGTGCAAGTTGTATGTGGTGAGTGGATGTATTTTTATTAGTCAGTTGTGTGACCTGGCAAAGGAAACCCTACAGGGCTGCAGCAGGAATTGCTAAGTGGTGAGCCAGCAGAAAGGCAGAATAGGATTATCAGGTCCCGAGATCCAGCTGGGATTCAGAACTGATTTGGTCTGAGTTCAGGACTGGGTTGAGGGTGCTCCAGAAGTCAGAGGGAGTCCTCAGTGAGGCTGGGTGGGCAGCAGCAACTCCACAGAAAGAGAAGGGAGCTTTCATTCTATTTTTCTACACTTTACCTTATCAAACACAGCGATGTAGAGTGAAAAACCAAAGGCATCCTTCAATTTGGTTTTGTCTGCTATGAACTGACAGATCTCTTTGGCAATGGAAGCAGAGTCTGCAGGGACAGTGATGCTTTGGCCGTTCATGAGGGTGACATTAAACATAATGGGTTTCTTCTGCTTTGTTGCCTGTAAGTCAGAATGAAATGAGAGAAAAAAATTATGGGCAAACCTCACTTTTCTCTGAAGAATGAAGAAGGCATTTAGATTTGAGCTCCACACACTGTACTATGCACTCAATAATCTAAAAGTGAATATCCAAAACCCACACAGTTTCTTCAATGCACGGTGAGTCTGAAATATAAATTACATCCCTGGAGCAGCACTGGACTCAAGTTCTCTCCTCAGGAGAGGTCATTATCACACAACAGTGTGAACTGATAGACTTTTCATGAGCCATTGTTGTCCTGATGACTTTTGGGAACAGCCTTGCACACATCAGTGGAGAGATGGCCTGAATCAAGTAGTTTGCCCAGGAAGATGTATGTTAGGCAACAGGGTCACTGAGATTTAGGAAGGAATTGAACTGAGGCTTTTCCTTGAAGAGGGAGTGTGTGACTTACAATTACTAGGATGACATTTAAGGGAAGAGGAGGACAATAAACTCCCCATTAAACTCCTCTCCATTTTAAAAGCATAAGCCCTGCTCAGTTTTTTCCAAAAGTGATGGTAAGAGCTTCCCTCAGGAGGTCGTTTCTGGCCTGTGGCTCCCGAGTGGATGGAAGTATCTCCCTTCAAATCATGTGTTGCAGCTTTTAACTTACATCCTCTACTGAATTTAGGCTAACTGAACAGCCAGAAGAGGCGTATCCAAGAAACTGCCCAGGCCAAGGCAGCTGGTTTTCAATCGCCTTGCGCGACTGATTTCCGTGGCTGGGTTTAGGAAGATCTGTTAGCACAGGTTAGTAAATGCAGAGCAGTATAAAATGTCACAGATGGGTATAAGGAGGCGAAGAGGGAGGTGGTACCTGCAGCTCCAGCCAGCTGGGCGGCTCCGTCCGCGCCCCGTTGACGTAGGTGCGTCTGAGGCGCTCGGCACAATAAGGAGCGTAGCCCGCGGGCCCGTGGTGGATGAAATTCAGCAGGTACTGTGTGCACAGAGCACGAGAGACAGTTAGGGAACACTGATCCTCTTAAAATGTTACAAGCCTTTTGTAGCTGACACACTAGATTAGAGCGCTCCGTTAGCTTTCGGTTCATCAGACAGCATTAAAGGTTAGAGTTGGAATTAGTGTTTTCAAAAAGGAGGTTTGAGACACCTGGTTTTCACTCGTTCTTCAGAGCTTTCAGTCCCGAGGGGAAGACCTGTGTCAGTCTATTCACTTGTTTAACTATGTGAAAAATATTAGATGGGGAGACTTTATTCTATGATTAGCTTAGAGCAACTAACTCTTCAACTGAAGTCTGTATGAACAGTGCTGGGTTAGGGTTAGGGTTAATTGCAGGTTAGAACTGACAATGACTAATACTTTCAGTTTTATCAAGTTCTCTGGCAATATCAGTAGCTGAAGTCCATGATTAAGATTGGACTTTGGAAGAGAAGAATTGGATAAACTGAGCTTTTGGAGACTGTATGGCTCTTGGGTGACACAGACTGGTATTTGCATATCTGTTTTTAGTGCAAGCATGGGCATTCACCCAGCTATTTTAATGATTAAGAATTCCTAGAGGTCGTGTCTTTTATGAATTCTGCACAGTTCAGAGTCCTTGGATGAAGCCTGGTATCAAAATATGATGTGTTTGGTTTGTTACAAGTAGTGTCCATTTAGCAGCATTTATGATTATATTAATCATTTGAACTAGGGTGTCAGTGAAGCAAGGCTGAATTTTCAGGCAAATCCATGGATCCTGTTTGCCTTTGAAATCTAGGAGGAAGGCTGATATCAAGTTGGAGCCACAGGTTGGGTTTTTATCCTGTGGTGAAGTGGATTTATAATCCATTTAAACTTGGAAATCCCAAATCTTCGTTCGCAAAGCCCAGCCATGATGATGATGATGATGAAACTTGGAAATGCATGATTTAAGAAAAGGTCAAATCTCTACTGGATTTTTTAGGGCTTGGAAATGTAGGGTAAGAATTGGTAACATATAAGGGGTGATTTTATACTGGCCTCCTGAGTATATTTAATCACTAAACTGGGGACACCTTTCAAATGTTGGAAAGGTAGAATCAGAGAGGTTAAAATTTGCCAGATTCTTTGCAGATTAGAGATCTAAAATGAGAGCTGTGATGAAAAACCGAATCCAACCTGTATGACATGGATTGAAAAAAAATTAAATGTGAATGCAGCAATAATTTATTTAAATTCTCAGATAAGGATATGAGATGAGAGAGTATCTGCTGAAACCACAGCACCAGCTGCTGTGGCAGCCAAACATTTTGTGTGGTTGTCAGCATCAAAACATCAAAATACACAAGACCCCAGCTGAGCTCAGGCACGTGAGGTGCTGTTGGAAAGGTTAGCAGTGTACCTTCACAAAGGTGTCTGAGGGAGGAAAGCAGCCAAGGCAAAGGGACAGAAGGATCCAGCCGCGAGCGTAGCTGCTCCTGTTGCTGTTTTCAGTGAGTTGTTTGCAAATCTGGCAATAAATCTCATCTCTGTAATGAAATATGTGAGAGCAACAGATAATGATTCACTGTCTTTCAGCTGTCTTTGGCTATGTTTCCACTGCAAGCATGGTGCAGTTGCAGCATGATGAAGTCATGCTAGATTTAACTGAGCTAGATTTAACTGTGTTAGCTGGGATACCACCCGTGATGCACCACAGGAAATAACTTGGTCATGGAAAAGGCCCTTTGCCACCCCTTCTTCCTCAAGCAGTTTAATAGCAATAATTCCCATGCTGGGGTACCTCCTGTGACAAACAGGGGTGCTGTGCAGGGATAACAACTGCTGGGTCATCCAGCTGGGAAATGGCATTGCTGTCCCACCATGCTCCAAGCTCTCCTAGAGCATGTGGCTTGTACCTTAGCTTTTGGCTGTCTGCTCCTAGGTGGATCTGGGGATAAGGATGGTGGGACACCCTTCTTAATTTTATATTTTTATTTATTTTTTTTGTATATATATTTATATACAAACTTGGAGTGAATCCTTGGACAGGCACTTCAGAGTGAGCTTCTGAAAATGCAAATTGCCTGCAGCAAGGAAGTATGGGAAACAGATTCAAAAATCTGTATACAGACAAAACTTCTTTTTAAAAATCATCTTAATTTTTCTCGACTCTTGCAACACACATTTGGCAAACCTGATGTGGGAGGACATAAGTTGGATAAGTTTTTGGTTCCCTGATAGAACATATGATGAAACACAGGGCAAGGGGATAGGTACTTAGCCTGTGGCTGTTATGATACATGGATTGAAGGCAATTTTTGCCAGCTGAGAATCTGCTTCAGGGAGTGTCTTGACTGAAACAAAGCCATGGTGTAGAGAGGAAAGCAGCCCATGACTGAGGTCAAGGCAGGGCCTGTGCTGGTGGGCTTTGTCACAGAAAAATGTTACTTAAGCTAAAACAGAGGAGAGGATTCATGGGGTCAGGCCAGGACCAACCAGCTTGTGTCTTATCCTCACACCATGCTTGGCCTAAGGTCCAGCCTCACACTGCTTGTGGACAGGATTTCTTCTTAGTGGCTGATACACTCAGCAATCCAGACCTTCAGCTGTCTCTGATTTGGGGACATTGCTTGAGGACTCAGCAATAGGCTATTGGGAAACCTCTCATCCATTAACTCCATATTTCTTACTCTTCTGAGTGACTCTTCTCCCTCATCCTAGGGCTATGTTCCACCAGATGTTATTGGGTTACAGCCCTGAGCTCTGCCCCATTATATCATACCTATGGGATATTCAGAAAGCCGTACATGAAGGCAGCTGGCCTAAACTGCAACATGAAAATACTGGGAAAAACAATAAAGGAGTCATTCTCCAGGACTGTGGAAAGGGAATGCTGGATTTCCTTCATGTAATGGGCATCTAGTCCTAGGAAGGAGGTACAAACTTCCTACCTGATGGCAGGACGCAGGATTGCATTGCCAATTATGAAGTGCACTTTTTCTAGGTTGGACATAGGTCTCTCAGAGATCGAGGTGTCCTCTTGGAAAGCCTCTTCTCCACTTCGCAGCTGGTCTGTCACCTGAAGGAAAGCAAGTAGAACCCCAGAGTGTTCAAGAAACCCCCCCTCTTAGCAGGCAGCTCTCTCAGAAATGAGAGACACTCCTTTTCTATCTTTCTGGCTAAACCGCTGTCTGCTCAGTGCAGGAGCAGTTAGAGCCAGGCCATATTCCCCCCTTCTGCCTCCAGGTATCTCCTTAAATGCACTATCACTGGCTTGGAGAACTTTCTTGTACTGTCCTGTACAGCCCTAAGCACATGGTAGTTCTCAGTCTGTTCAGGGCTTTGGGCAAACTGTTGTGTAATGTCAACAGTTCTCAACAATAAATTGTCCCCTGTGTTCTCTGCCAGAGTATGGATGACAGCATTGCCCATGGGGATCATTTCCAAAGAATACTGCACCAAGTATCCCACACAGGGCTGCACTGGCTTCTCAGGGGAACAAGTTCCCAGCTGGGGGGTTGCTGTCACATAACATCTGTCAGAAGGTGGAGATAGGGTTCCAGGCAAGAAGAAAAGGAAGCAATTTATTTCCACCTCTTACCTTCCCTGTCAGCTTGGATGACCGTTTCAGCTTCAGGGATGAGATCCCCTTCAAAATTTTGTTATCCCTTCTGCCTTCTCTCTGCAACAGACATTACCACTATAGGAAATTAGTTCAGTGCACAGCAAGAATGATTCATTAAGGACACAAAAATGCTCAAGTGAAGATGTTTTTGTTTTGTCCTCTCCTGCCAGAAGGAGCTGCAGTGTCCTGCCAGGACTAACTGGAGCCCTTTTGTACTCGTAGCATTTCAAGTACAGTAGCATGAAAGGGTTCCTTTGCTTTTCTCAGTCTTGGTAGAATAGCACAAAAACCAAGGAAAGCAAATGAAAACAAAAACATAGCCAGCTTCTCTCACCATATTCGGGCTGTCATTCTTCAACTGGACCTGGTTTTTTCTGCCAAGTGTGTCATATATCTGTGTCATCACGGAGCTGCTCTTGGTGGTGGCATTCTTGGCAAACATTGCTGGCTCTGGCAGGTCCCCCATGAACCTCAGGATGATCACCCACACAACTAGAGAAGCCTGTAGTAGCAGAAAGCAAAATCAGACACCTCCAAGAGAACCAATGCCTCATGCCATTTCTGCCTGTTTAGATAAGAGCATTTCCTTCCTTTACCCAGTCCAAGTTGTTAAAATTCCCATCTCCTCCTGCTACTTACACGAGGAGTTTAGTTTCGTGTCAAACAACATGAGAGCAACACTCACAACACTTTAATGCTAAAGGAAGAGGGTACAGCTCTGGTGAGAATATCAGATTTGCTCTGTGGCTGCTGAGCCCTCACCATTCCCTTTACTGGCACCTTGCAGGTGTGCTGTGGCTGGAGTGAGGTGGAGAAACCTTGGCTGAACTGCACCCTGCATTTACCCACCTGGGCAGTGGAGTGGACTCTTCCAGGAGCCCTCACATGCCCAGAACTAGAAAGCCAAGTAATAGCGAAGTTCTTGACACATGGGATCCTCAATTCTGCAAGGCTGCTTAGCATCAAGGAAAACACCCTCCCTAATCCCCCTCTGGTTCAACAGGATATTGGATGCCTGGCCCTCCCCCTTCTGTCCTAACTCACAGACCAGCAACCCTAACAAGGGCAGAGAAATGGGTGAGCTCTGGTGCTTCTTCTCTCTGGTCCATTTTTGCCCCCGAAGGGTAAATTCTGGAGAAGTCAAAACAAACCTCTGAGTTCCCTCTTTGGGTAGACTGAAGGTAACTAGAGATCCTGTGTTGGGCAGGTGTTTGTGGGAAGTGCCTGCCTGCAAAGTGCCAGAAAATGCCGATGAGAACTGTTATTTTTCATACAAGTGCTTAAGACTATCTGCTTGGCTCTAGAGTCTGGCTTCCAGGACCCAAGGATGAGGGGAGCTGTAAAGCTAGGGCTGTGGACAGAGCAGGTTCAACAAGAAGAAGGAGCAAGATACCAGGACGTTGTCCCTGTCATCATGGTAGAGTAGCGGGTGCCGTAGCTGTCTCCGGATATGTGTATGTGTAGAAGACCCCTGGAAATAAGTAGCTGCAAACTTGGGGAAGGTGTACTCTTCCAAGCCATCTGCTTCCTCTTCGAGCTCCACACTCATGGGAACCATGTCCAGGTCCACCTCCTCCAGCTTGTTAGGCTTTGTTTCCAAGTCCTGTGCAGAACATGAGGAAGAAGCATATTTTCTTTCCCTGAACTCTGATATTCTTATGTTTGGTTTTGGGTTTTTTTTCTTGGCCACAGGTCCTCCTTTCCAGCTAACCCCAAAGCCATTTACAGCTGCTACCAACAGATCATTTGGACTCAGAGCTTGTCCTTCTGAGATACATCCATTTCATATGGCCTTCCTGTCTTGGTCCTCAGCAACAATATTGCTGATGGAAAATCTAGGTGTTACCTCACTGTTCATATCCTGCACTAAGACCATTCTATTTTGCCCACCTCTCCCTATGCAATTCCATCATCTACAGCTGTCAGGACTAGTATAGACCAAGTTTTGCTTTTAAGAACATGGGATAACTTGGGTTATGAACTTCCAGCTTTCAGGCAGAAAATCACCAACCTGAACCATGAGAACCATCAAATCTAGTTGGTAACTATTTTTCCTTTTTTCTCTCTCATTTTCTTCTCCTGCTGCCTGACCATGTGACGACTTTCCCTCTCTACATCCCTTTTTCTTTACTCTTTTAATCTGTTTTCTTCTTTTCCTTCTCTTGTGGGTAACTTAAAACCAATTAATTGTGTTTTACTACAGCTAGTATATTGATTCTGTGGAATGGGGTTTTGTACTGTGTTGTAGTGAAATGCTTTTTTTTGGTTGTATTTTACTCCTTTTGCCAAAATATCTTCTCATTAAATTAAAAGTATTTCTCTTAGAGAAGAGTGTGTGACTTTTTCTCTGGATGCTAATTAGAGGTTATAATGAACCAAAAGGCTTTTAAAAAGTCTTAAATAAAATGTAACAACTCTGGGCAACTTCTGGCTTAAACTCCAGAATGTAATAGTCTGTGCCAAAGAAACAAATCTGCAGTTAGAAGCTATATAGTTCTCAAAATGCATGTGACCAAAATGGTTGGGAACTGACCTCTGAAAGCAGATGTCACAGCGACTGTCTGGATGACTAATTTGGGTGATTCTTTCACTGTACAGAAGTTCATTAAACAGAACTGACCACTGATGGAATTCCAGCAGTCAATGGACTTACACAAGGGATAAGCATGAGTCATTACCAGTCTGCAGCTCCATACCTCAAAACCCAGAGGAGCCTGTCCTTCTTGGCCTCCAATCATAGAAGGTAAAAACCCAAAAATTTTGTCCACCATTTCTTGGTCACTGATAACATCATGATTTGTTGGTGTGTTACTCCTTTGTCTTCCTTCGTCCTCCTCTCTCTCCTGAGTTGCCAGGTATAGAAATAAACATAGAAATAGGTTAGGCATGACTTGAACATCATTCTGTTAGAATGAAGGAGTGTGAAGATGAAACACTATTACAAAGGTGTGTGACAGTGAGGTCTAGCCCTACCAGTGCAGTAGTGGAATGGGAAATCAAATGTTGCTTGTGTCAAGCAGTCACAAAGATCTGGCACATCAGCAGCAGGGCCTTGCTCTTACAACTGTCCTTATGGACTGTTGGCCTATTGATAATGATGTGCAGTTATTCAAGAACATTTTCAACAAGAGATAATACAGGGAAAACACGGAATTTCTAACAGCAGAAAACCCCACAACATTTAAAATTTAAAAAGGTTTTGTGTCGGGGGTTGTAATAGCATTGGGCATCTTTGGCTAACGTGCCAGCTCATGCTGCAATCAGAAATGTGTATGTGTTTGGCTTGTCCCATTTTCAAAGCGTTATTACAAATAGGTTTGCAACTACGGTTTCTCTTTCTTAAAATAAAGCAGTGCTCAGATGTTTGAACAAGTCTGCAGGTCTGGTCTAGGCAAGGGCAAGCTCTCTTGTTAGCCAAGAAACAGAGCACTCAGTGTTCTTCCACCAACATACCTACCTTTTGGAATCTCATAGCTTCTTCTGTTGCTTTCACTGGTCCAAGGACTTGGATGAGACGTTCCTCTTCCTCCAAGTGGGTATTCCTGGCTTCCAGCTTGTTCTGTGGACAACATTCTGTGACCATTTGTACAACTGCTGAGCCAGGTCCCTTCAGCCATTAACAAGCTGTCCACACCAGCACTCTTTCCCAACAGGGACTCAGTTCTAGATCAGGCATTTTAGGGAAGAGGCAGAAATCTGCAAACTGGCTTTGTCCTGTTTATACAGCATTAGTACATAAAGGAAGTCATGGAGAGGCCTCCAGCGTGCTGTGGACCATCAAGGGCTGGTAGCACATAACAAGACACACTGCATTAGGATTGCCTTCATGGATCCCCGAGTGCCATTAGCAGGCCTTTCTGTAGAAATGGATCTCCCCTTGCAGGAGAGATACATGCACACATCTTTTCTCCTGCTTTCTGTCAAAACCGCTTCAGCTGTGACAGTGAAGTTTTGACCCATGATAATGATCACATAAAGCAAACGTAAACAAGCTCACTCTGCCTAACACTCTGCTTTTGGGCTTGACAAGAGCTCAAAATAAAATATCCCCAAATGAATATCCGCACCCAGCGCTATGCTACGACAACGCTGGTTGTTGGGGAGATTGGAATTTCACAGAAACAACGCGTTCCCAAGTTATCTGTGAGCGTACCTCCCCCTTCCTCCTCTGGTAGGTCTGGCGAGCCAACATGCCCCTCGCATATGCCTGTATGACACACACAGCTTTCTTCTGCTCTGCCACCTTCTGGCGCACCAGGTAACCCCGGCACCGGGCTTGGAGCCTGATGATCTGGGCCCGGGTGGCCCCGTAGTGCTGGGCCAGCTGCCGGCTGCGGTACAGGGCCTGCAGGCGCCCGAAACCCAGCATCGCCTGAGGGATGGGAGAGACAGCGAGTCACTTCAAAACCAGAGAGACTGCCAGTGAGCTGGGATGGGCAGAAGACAACAAAATTCAGTAACCGCACAAAGACACTTGTACCAGGGTGAATTTATGCTGATACTTTTGGGCTGTGTTTAGCCCTGCCACCTGTGAAAGCTTTGCTCTTTCCTTGCCAAGTTATGGGAAAACAAGCACTGAAAAATGGGAAAGTTGTCCTTGAAGAGAGCTCCTTGTATAAACTGTTTTAATTGGTATTCTGTGATTGGCTAGTTGTCCTACACGGTCGCTCGAAGGAGAGATTGAGGAGGAGGATGAGGAAGGCTTGGCCCCAGACTCAATTAAGAAAGACCCCCAAAACACACTGCGCGTGCGTGAGGGGATTTCCGAATTTCTCATGCATGTGCAGAAGAGATGCACTGACATAACCAGGAGGTGGGACTGAGGGCCTCGGGCTGGGCAGTGCTGGCCACACCTGGGGAGTTGTGGCCACTTAAGTAATTGTATAAAAGGCAGATAGTGCTTTCTTAGAGGCAGTTAACTTCACACTAAGGACAGCGTTGCCTCTTGGCAGGGACGCCTGCCAGTTTGTGAACTTAGTGACTTTACTGCTATGGGTAATCATAGCTTTGCTAGGTTGGTAAGATAACTTTATGGGTGACAGCTGGGTAACTGGGGCTTATTTCTCTCCTCCTTCCTCCCTTTTGGGTTTGTTCATTTTCTTGGCCACCTTTTGGTAATAAATATTGGTTTTTGTTGAGCTTGCAACGGTGTCTGTTTTTCACGTTCCAGTATATCTCGGACCTTCCCTAATACAGCACTGGAAGCAGCTAATGTAATGGTACCTTTTATGCTTTATTTCCTGCCAGTAATACGACTTTAAAACTAGATATACAGAGTTATCTGGGGGATCTGTTCAGGGAATGGCTCCAGAGAGTGACAGTGATAGCCTGGGATTATGACAAGGGAAGGAACAGAGCAGAAATGAAGCCAAGTGAATGGAAGCAAGCAAACAAAGTCACACCCTTGGAGCCATGGATGTGGCAATTGCAAGAGAAGCAGTTGGAGGAGGGTTCCTATTTCACCAGAAAGCAGAATTCAGCAAGCCCTGAGATGTCCCAGAGTCCTCCTTGGACTTTACACCCTTCCTTACACCCTGCCATCTTGCCTCTCCTCCCTTCAGTTGTGAATATCTTCATTCCTAATACTCAGTCTGGCAGGGCATAGTAGATAAACAAACAAACACACACACACACATATATATGTGTACACCTTCATCTTACCATTCTGAAGTCCTTCCGGCAGCAGTAGCCTCTCCAGGCTGACTGAATAGCTACAGCAGACTTCCTCTGTTTCAGGAACTGCTTCCTAAGGAGACAGACATGTGAGGTGACAAACACTAGGTTATCTCTGTTGTTTCTTATGACAGTAGTAAAGAAGAAGGTGGCATTTCTTTCCTTTTTTCCTGGGACGTCTCCAGTCTGATCTCTGCCTTGTTTCCTGCAAAAATACTCACAGCAACTGCAGACCAAATTCATTGCTGTGGTCAGAGAGCTCTGTAAGAACTGAAAACCCCTTACATCAAGGTTGGATAAGTTAACTCCCCCACCTAATAATCACATCTGAGCAAGATGAACTTCCCATGGTACGAACTGTCACACCAAGGCTGGCACATAGCTCTGATGGTTTAAAAATAAAAGCAAGTTGAGGCTTGTAGGGAGAGGTGATACTCTGTTAGATAGCAGGCAGAGTCTGAAAAAAAAAGGGGGAAGTTTTGGGGCATTTGTGTCATGTCTTTTGGTTCTTGCTTCTCTACTGTCAAGAATATTACTAAACTAAACCAGGATTCAATCCTATATCATGGTTCTGGTTGGGGGGATACAAGGTAAATAAGAAGAAATCATGACACAGAGCATTCAGTGAGGACAAACATTTACTTGACAGTGACTAAATTGCCCTTCTGAAGATATTTCAAACTAAAACCAGACAAAATGCAAGAATTATGCATCTTTAGCAAAGAGAAGGACTTGTTAATTTCTATCTGATTCTTTTCTAGGTTTTGTATGAAAGAAGCATCCTAAATAAGAGAATTCCTGTAGCTCTGAGAAGGACACAGATTGCATGGGGATTTCCTGCTTTTGAGATGTCTACCATTTACCAGAAATATTAAGAACAGATCCTCCTTCCAACCCTTCCTCTTCATACAAGCTGTGTGTGCCACAGCCCTGCATTTTGAAAAGCATCGTGAAAATAAAAAAACTGAGCCAAAACAAACCCTTGTGCAAAATCTGCACAGATACGCTGTGCACTCTTACATGATGAGCATGGAATTTAGGGCTGGTGGAAGGTGTAGATTGGTATGTTTCATACTTAGAAATGCTGCACAGAGTGTGTTAAGATGCACCACAAAGATAACTGCTTCAAACCAAAGTGACCTCCTTCTTACAAGATCACTGACCTGTCCTTCAATCCTCTCATCACCTTCTGGATAAGAAGAACGTTATCTGTGAGTACATTTTGGCGTTGCAGCTCCAATACAGTGTCATGATGATCCTGTTAAAACAAAGTGTGGATATGCCAGGTGAGCAGACACACCTATGACCTCTGAAAACTGGGCACATGGTCTGAAAGAGGCCCAAAATCAGCATGATGGAGCATAATGTGATTAAAATGCATTTATGGGACTTCAGTAGGACGAGTACATGCCACCTGAGCACACCTGGTCTGTCTATAGCCATAAACAAGCAGTCACACTGTTTTACCTGGGGGAATGCTACAGGCAAGATGGTTTCCTGCAACAGTGTACTGGTATCCCATTCTTTTTTATGCTCCAGTACATTGCACTGCACTGTTTCAGCTGCAAAGCTGGCACACAGGAACAGGATCAGCCTCTCCTACACCAAACTGTCTCTATTGAATTATTTTGCCTCCAGGAACAAAGATACAGCTTCAGATTCAAGACAACCGAGTCCTCCTAGGTCACCACTCTTGCACAAGCAGGTCAAGCTGTACTGTGAAGCATCCAGTCTTTCAGGAGAAGAGACAAAACCCTGTCCTTTTTACTTACTTTAAGGAATATCTTGGTCCTTCCAACTTGCCAGCTTTCATCCTTGCCCAGCACTGCCTCGGAGATGCTGATGCAGCTCTGTCGAGCATCATTCTTCAGCTGATGTGCAAAAGCATGATGATGTTAGGGCTTGGTTGTGAAACACAGCAGCTGTGCTACATGTAAGGATCTACTGCCCTGCATTTCAAAGGGCGAAGAACAGAAAGAGATGAGGTCTTACTGACCTCTGGGCTGACAGTATAGTGAATGAAAGTGGTTCAACTCAAATGGTCAGGAAAAGGAGGAACACGACTGCATGGCCAAACATTCCAGAGTTCAAGTGTGAGGAGGATGTCAGAGACCTGAGAAGTATGTGATTACAGAAAAGAAACATCTGAAGGCACATCCTGCCTGGGATGTCTGTATGGAGCAGGCCAATGACAGCTGGACCTAAAAACAGCTGTGCATTTTCAGCTAAGGCCCAAGTGAGTAAGCATTTAGCTGTAATTACTGTGGTGACAGTTCCATGATGGCAGCGATGACATCTCTCTCAACTGTGCCAGCAGTAATCCAAGAACTTTCTACCGTGGAAAAGACTAAAGCCTCATAAGGAAAAGTTAAATTAGCCTCAAACCAGGTTTTTGCTTACACACCTGCTGTCGAAGAGACCATGGCAAGAGAACCCTGTATCTCTCAAAGAACTCCTCAAAGGTGTAGCGAATTGGGTACCCAGCTTTCCTGATTTGAATGGTCTCCATCATCCCCGAATATCGCAGCTGTTTGATACACAGCTCCCGGTCGAACAACTGAAGGGGAAAGCACACGAGGAGGAGACTTAGCACTGAAAGAAGGTTCACATCCAGCATCCCTCAGAACACATCTATTAACCTTCAGCCTCAGAGGGCCTGCAAAATGGCCGACTATGCTTTTTTTAATTGCACTGAATTAATTCATTACGGGCATAAACGAGTTACCCCAGTTATTTTTACCCTCAATTCTGTGTATGTGAGCAGAAGATACAGCCTGTTAACTTCACTGTGGCTTTAGTAACCATTTTCAATTCCAGAACCACAATTCCAGATGAACAGTGAATTGTTCATATCATTAGCAGGTGTGAACAACTGCAGTAGCAACTTAGGCCCTTTGGGCATACCATGCAAAGCTTAGCAGGTGTGCTGCTTGTTTCTAACAGGCTCACTAAGCCACAGGCGGTACTTCAAAAATATTCACTTGACCAACACCATTCCAAGTTTAAGTGTAAAACTGGATCGAGGTCTCCTGAGTTCCAGACAAGTGTCTTAATGACAAACTGATTCCTCCTCTCCCGTAGTGTCAGACTAAGCCACACCACCCCTCTCACAAACTCCAACAGCTCTCCTATTCTCTCTCAGCCTATTTCACAGTAAGGGCATTGTGGGATCCTGATGGGTTTTTTTGTCCCCTTGCTGAGGGGCTACAAACTCTCCCGTTTTGTCTTTCACTTTGCAGAAAATATAACTATATAACTCTGCTCAGGAATACATGTATGTGCTGTTTTGCCAACCATTACTGTAGGATGTATTTTTTGAGATGTGTTTGTACATTAACAATGTTATATCCTCCTGCTGTCTTAATTGCAGGAATAGCCTGTACTCCAGCTCTTCTTGGCTGCAGCCAAGTACAGCTATAAAGTGCTACACAGCAACTGACAGCTTTTTCTGATTAAAAACTTTACTGAAGACAAGAGCTCATATTGTTAGAACATTACCAGTGGTTTCTTGTAGTCGTTAGGCTTGATGCAGCGGATGAAGTATGGCTGGCACTGCTCCAGGATTTTCATTAGTTTTTCCAGGGATTGCTTGAACTGTCCTCCCAGGGTAGAGAGCCGCTTGGTGGTATCCAAGCCCTGGGAAGAGTAAGCACGTGCTGACTACTACATCATTCACTGTCAGAGGCCAGTTAATAAAACTTTGTATTTTTGTACAGCGTAGCAGTATCACACAACTCTCAGAAAAAAATTATTTACCTACATGGGGATTAAATTGGTCATTTTCAGCTTATTAATTTTGGTTTATTCTTGCAAAGAAACCCCATTAAGTGCTGTCACCTACTTGGGCACTAAGTTCTAGCAATGATGGTGGCTGTGGTAGAAGAAATTCCACCTACAGGAGCCCACATTCGCCTGTCTCTTCCAACCAAGTCTGTGTTTAGTGTAGGGCCTGGGTGCCAAGTGTGATTCCTGGGTGTGTGCCTGAAAGCTTTGTGAGAAACAGCCCCTCCCAAAGCAGTACTAACCTCCAGGCCAGACATTTTGTGCCATCATAGATAAGAATGATAAAGACCCAGAACAGCCTGTTTCTTAAGGATTAGGATGACTGATCACCTTGCTCATTAATATTACAGTAAGCAGGGAGAAGGTAAACTTTTACTGGAGTAAGGTGAGAGCCACTCCAGACTTCCCCAGCTTCTCTGACAGCAGAGTTCTACCTATGCCTTTTTCACACAAATCATCACATTAGGCTCAAGCTTCTGTCTCTCAGTGTGGGCACATTAAATTGCAGTAACACCAGTACAAATTCCAAGTAACAGAAGGGCTCCAGTGGCCTTTCACATACAGGCATGGAGCTAATTATTGCAGCACAACACAGCTGGTTTGCTCGTTTGGGGAGGGGTTAGTGGCTTGTGGGGTTTTTTTTATTTTTTTCCAAGTACATAATTTAAAGTTCAGTGGCTCCTCTCACTTCCCTGGTCTTTAGAGTACTTCATTCTGCTCTGTTCTTACATCTGAAGTGCCTTTTTGAACACTCAAATTGCCACCCTCTGCTTTAGTTGCAGGGCAAGGCTGCCCTCCAGTGATCAAAGACTCATGTCTTTGGAAAACAGCTCCTGGGAATGTCTTGTCGCAGCTCTGATGCATCTTAGGGCTAACAAGCATCTGAAGTAGGTATGCTAACAGCATAAATATGTATATTTAAGCTGTGTAAGAGTTAAAACGATTTTCACTCCCAGACCTTAGAGGCCTTTCTGCTGCACCCTCAGTGGCAAGGCCACAAAAGGCTGAAGCCCATGCCCTCATGATCTCACACACAGAACATTGTTAAAGCTGAATTTGTTGTTGGCTTTTGGCTTAATGGTGACTTTTCTGCCCTGCTGTGTCAGGAGAGGAACTGTGGGACCTCAGGACAAAAAAGTGTTTTCTGGCCCTTAGTTCATTATTCTTTTCTGTAGCCCGCTTCTTAAGCTTCCCAATGGTAGCCCCACCTATTTGAAAATTAATAGGGGTATTTCAGCTAATTTCTATGCATTTTGGAATGGGTAGCCCCCATTTAGTATCTCCTTTCTTGACATGCTGCTGTGCTTTTTTTTTTCAATAAAGCAGACTTATTTATAGGAACAAAACCATTAGAGCAATGTAGATAGACCTGATATTTAATCTGAAGGTATGCATAGCATTTAAGAGATGCTAAGCCAGTTCTCTGTTGCTGCTTGTACCACTTCTGATGTTCTTTGCCCCCAGGATGTTTACCTGTCCATGGCCAGGTGTTCTGGACAGCAGAAAACCACACTGGGACAAAGACAGAGGAAGAAAGAACAGGATCAGAAAACAGTGCCAGGAGAATAGACAGATAAGAGGTAAGGTAGCAAGCTGTTCTGTGTCCTGAAAGAAAAACTCAATGATGTAAACAGTAAAAGCAAAAGTACCTTTACACACTGACGACACTACATTGTTAAATGCTCAGAAATCACAGTTTGTGAAAGTTGGAGCAGCACAAAGAACCCAAACTCTGCCCCAATGCTGTTTCCAGTCCACTACACTTTACACCCTCATTTTCACTAAGCACAGACAAGGCTCCCTCCACCAGCAGGCACAGATGGGCCTGTGACAATGAGCCATCATGAACTTTGTCATAAAGCCTCTGGGCAAGAAGGGAGAGCTAAAATTGCAGCAGTATGCAGGGCAGTGAGACTGTCTCTACAGGTGTCACTAGGAGAAGGAGACAGCTCTTTGCTCTGTTGGGCCAGGACCCACTGTCCAGTGAGACTCTTTGGTGTTCTGGTCCCAGCAGACTGGCTGCCTGTGCAGCACAGCAGCAGTTTCCCTGCTGTGCTGGCTTTGCTGAGGGGTCTCTGGTTGGTGCCTTGTCCATTCCAATGAACGTTTTGAACCCCCTCGTAATTTACACCCCTCTGAGCAATGTGGATGCTGGATGGACGCCCAGGCAGATGCAGACCAAACCCATCCAGCTGATGCCAGCATGTGGGGGAGGTCCCACGACTCAGGGATGTGGGGCAGCCTGCAGGCATGGCTGCACAGATGTCCAGGGATGCAGATCTGGGCGACAGGGCTGACAGTGCACTTGTTTACAGCACAAACACCAGACCTTGACTTTCTTGCAGCTTCCTTTGCAGAAACAAATTGAATGAAAGGGAGAGGAATTTGCAGAGACAGTGAGAAAAAAACCCCAAAAAACGAGGAGGTCAAGAACAGCTATAAGCCAGTGCCAGTAAGCCAACCTTGTAGATCTGGTCAGCTCCAAGATGCCGGATGGTCCCACGTCCCAGAGTAGGTGGGGTCGTTTCCACCTGGAAAATCTCTCTCAGGAATTTGTTTTTGGAGGAATGGACCACTTGCATTACGTTAGCACTCAGGGTGTCACGATTTTTCTCCAGGAAATCTATAGGATGGAAACAAAATTATCACATCTGCAGCCTGATGGCTCTAGCACCACTCTGTCTGCCTAAAATCCAACTCATTTACAGTAACTTGCAGATTGGTTTAGAGTAATTCTCTTGGCCTCCTGATCAGCTTCAGATCAACACTACCCTGAACAGCCACATACCCAGGGCACATCCTGCCCTTCTCTTCACCCTCTGTATCCAGCAAAGACTCACCTTTTGATTCATAAAAGACAACCCCAGCAAAGTGGTTGATGCCAAACTTGGTGTCATGAACACTCTTAGGTGGGATGTAGACTTTACTTTTGCCATGGAGGGAATTGATTTTAACAAGCATGGTGGCATCTGTGCCCTAGAAACAAATACAGGCAAAACCA